ACCTGGCCCCTAGCGGCTGGTGTGTCCTGCTGCCCGCTGGGAGTGACATGAGGCCATACTCTTCCAGGGGCAGCACCGAGAACCACAGCCAGGTTTCGTAAATCAAGTTCATCGCTGTTTTCCTCTCAGGGGCTCCCACCCACTGAGCATGCCAAGAAGCGCTACAGACCCCCGGCCACACTGCACGACCTGCAGAGCAGCCTCTTCCGGAGCGCTTGTCCTTGGCTGGCAGCCACCGAAGCCACTTGTGCGACCGAAGCAGGAAGGGCCTCGGGGGCAGGTTCCACACGAGACTCCCTGCAGCCAGGGCGCAGAGGCTTCGTAGCAGCAGACCTACTCTTCCCAGGCCGCCTTCCATTAAGAACTTATTAAGTGGTGGGTGAGGGGGCCTGGTTAAGAGTTGATCTGTCGCAGAGCGCTACTTACCCCCAGATCTGTGGGGTTTGGAATCACTTTATTGATCTGAAGATTGTATTCTTTGGAATGTGACCCTCTTTGGACTTAGGGTTAATCAGGAAACGCTGCCGGGGAGGGCTCTCTGTAATCACCTCGGGGCCTCCCCCGAGAGCGGCACACTCCCCACAACCCCACCCTTGGCGGTAGCCTGGACTCAGCTGGGAACCTCCTGCCTTTGACTCCAAGGCCCGACCGGGAGCTGTCTGTGGTGCTAGGCGGATAGAAGCTGGAAGACCTGCTGTAAGGAAGGACAGACTACAAAAGGACAAACAGAATGGTGGAGACCCAGCAAACTCAAAATGACAGAGGCCTTCACATTTCAGCTAGAAGGAAGAGAAACAAAGGGCGTTCTGACTTTTCCCATCTCCCCAAGATAATGGGGCTAATTTTCCAGTGCAAAAGACCAACGACACCTCCCTTTCTCTGATACACAGTCCTGGAGCCCACCCACTCACCATTACCCAGCCCACACACTTTCTCTCATCCAGTCTGGAGCATGTTGTTATAGAGGTGACATGCAGAGGTGCTGGGCACTGGGCCCCCACTCAAAACAAACAGACAAACAAACACCCCTCCTCAAGAAAGTAGGACTGGACAAGACTAAGTGAGAGAATGGAGATGCCATCAGGCCAGCCCTAGAAAAGGCCCTACTGGCCCATAGGCCCACATCTCTGGGTGGTCAGCAGCCAGAACACAGGGCAGGCCAGCTTTTTCCCAACAAGGGTTCCAAGCTGTGCAGGAAAAGACAGTTTGATCTGCTCCTGGCCAGCCTGTGAGCGGTGAAAAGTCAGGGCTTGTTTTCCAAGCATGTTAACTTCAAGCTCTGCCTGGCTTTTTCAGAAACCAAAGCAGAGCCCCTTCCAGTGTATTCGTGGTAAACTCGAAGTTTTACAAGCACTAGAGTTCCCCTAGCCCTGGGAAGGGCTTTCCCCAATATTTTTCAAAAGTTAAAAATATAGCAATCCAAACTACTCCCAAGCTGCCTTGTTTAAGGGGTAAAGGTTGAGCAAACTCTTCTGAAGGGTTGCCTAGACAGGAGGCAGATTGTGGGTGGGTGGGGGGTAGACTTTGTTTATGGGAGGGGGTAGACTTTGTTTAAGGGGAAGCTGATTTTGCAGCAACACAGGAAATTGGCTAATTTGCTTCTGTGTGTGCTTTCCTTGGGAGGGGGGATAAATTGATACAGGGAGGTAAATCTATTTGCTGGGGTTGGAGCCAAGCAGCAAGTGTTACTTTGCAGTTTATTGAAAATGGCTTAGTTGGGCTACAACAACTGGCTGCTGGCCAGAAACTTTCACTTCTTCCCTAACAAGTAGATTTTCGATCTGTAGCTCTGTACTGTGTTTGCTCCCGCCGGTATCAAGCCCAGAAAGCCTTGGGGATATGGACCTCTATGGGGTTTTGAGCATCCCTCTGAAACAAGTTCATTTTCCTAGACTCTGATGGGAAGCAAAGAATGTCACCAGGAGATTCAGTTTGTCTAGACTTTAATCAGTCCAGAGACCAACCACAATTTGCCCTTCAGACAGGAGGGCAAGTAGGGAATACAAAGGGTGCAGCTCCCAGTGGCAGCCACCCAGAGAAGCCTTAACCAGCTAAGTCTCCTGTGAGAAAGGCACATTAGCTTGCTCCTTGCTTCTTGCCCATTAGCCATCACCCCACCCCAAACTTAACTGGACAGGTACAGAAGCACAAAGGGACCCCTTGTAGAGGAATGAACCAGTCCTGTACTTGACTTTTAAGCAGTAGTTTAGGACTTTGAATCTTAGGGCACCTGCAAAGGTCTACTTTGCAGCTTTGCTGAAGGACAGGAAAGAACTGGGTACCCAACTTTCTTCCTGGGTCAACCCCTCTTGCAACACCCAATCTAATGATCATAGAACAGCAAGTAGCGGAAAGAAGGAGGGACACTTGCAGCTCAGTGGTTTAGGAAATGCAAGAAAAGGAGACTCTGAAGGAAGGTGAACTGGCAGGGATTTTGATGTATACAAAACAATTACTGGCAGAAGTGGAGAGTGCTACCCTGCACTGACCACCCACAGAGTTCAGGCTGAAGCTGGCAACTAGTGGGTGCCAGTGGGTGCCAAGGCCTTTCCTAAGTGTGTAGGTTCCCTCCCTCATTCCTCTCCTCATCCTGGGTAATTCTTTATGTGGATTCTTTCCACACATGAAACTTGTGCTCTCCTAGGTCTCCTTCTTTGGCTCTGAGCTTGCCAAACTCAAGTCCATCATGAACAGAAGCTATTTTGCATCCTCACACCTTAGAAAATGCTTTTGTAGGCTTAGGCACATCCTCCTAAACTGCTGAAACTTGATTTAAAAAAAAAAAATCCAACCAAAGCTAAGATGGAACAGGGGGGAGGTCTGCTGAGTGTCCAAGCATCGGGCCTTCCCACTGAACAGAGTGGTGTTCTATTTCCCGCCAAGCCCAGCTGTCTGAGTTTGCCCCAGCTCAGCAGGCAGAAAATTAGAAGGGCCAGCCCAGACTCTTGGTAGGATCATAAAAAGACCAAGATCATTTTGATTCAATTGATGAGCTGGAGGGAAATCTGCAAACCACTCCCTAATTAGCCACGGTCTGATCAAGGCGCCTGAGGCAATTTCCTCCATACTCTCACCTCTTTCCTTCCTTCCTCCTTCCCACCCCTCTTTAGTTTACATTCTGCATCACTACAGTTTTTAAAAACATTTTTTAAAAGCGGAGCTTAACGCATCAAGCAAACTCAGAGGCCAAATCTGGATGTGGATTAGCTTTGTGAGAGCCCAAGGACAGAACTGATGCCAGAGGAGGTGTGGGGTGCTGGTAGGACCAGTTCTCCCCGAAGCTGAGGAAGGGACCTGACACCAAATCAGAGAGGACAGCTGCATAGCTGTGCCCAGTCTGACTCCCGGCCTAACAGTTTTCCTTCGTGAAATCCTTAATGCTAAGCTTGGTAAAGAGTAAAAAGCCAGCCCTGGGCATCTGCAGCCCAAAATCAAGTTCTGTCCCTGGTGTGTGTGTGTGCGCGCGCGCGTGCACACACACACACACACACACACACACACACACACACAGAGAGAGAGAGAGAGAGAGAGAGAGAGAGAGAGAGAGAGAGAGAGAGAGAGAGAGAGAGACCGAAAGAGTAGGGTCTTTCATTTTGGGTGACAACGCTTTCAAAAGCACAGATAAAAAGACTTGGCAAGCTTGTCTCAACTAGAGTTTGTTCGTTGTATTCCCGCTCCGCAGATCCAAGCACAGCGAACTCATTAGGGCGAACGAATAGGTGAAGGATTGGGGGCTGGAAGGTCGCCGTTGGGGACTAAGAAGACAAGGATCAAAGCTACGACAAAGGTTTGTTAGCGGGACACTCGGCGTCCCCCGGGGCGTCCTAATTGCCCGGCCGGCAGCCTCCGGCTCGCAGGCTGACCGGCTGTGCGAGCGCCCAGCCGCGGGCCGGCTGAACAGCTGCAAGGCCGGCTTAGTGTCGGCCTGCCGCCTGGCTCCTGCTGACTTGGCTGGCCGGTCCTCGGCGCTCTCACAGCCCCAGGAAGAGCGCTGCAAGAAGAGGGCAGACAGAAGCATCCCCACACACCCCACAAGCCTTCACGCCCAGGCGGGAAAAACAGCTAAAGCCAGCTGCCTACTTAGCTATCGCTAACAGTCCACAAACAAGTATTCATTATTTAAACCGTTAGAATAAAAAGACAGGCACTACTTGTAGTCATCTATATAGTTCAGAAGAAGAGGCAGGCAGCTCAAAGTCGACGATTTTGTGGAGTACTGCTGAAGGGGTATTTTCTGTGCCTGAGTCAACGCGTTTCATCATCGGTGTGTGCTATTTTAAGTAAAATCAGCTCCCTGGGATCTCATCGCTTGTTAAAAAAAGATAAACTTTATTTTTGTAATTTTCAATCACAAAAAAATCTATACTTTTGTCTAAGCATTTATTTTACTGAATCAAAAAGACATGAAAAGAAAAAATCATGTTTTTACTGACGTATATAAGTGACTCTGTTTTGGACAACATATAATAAATATGATATATCACTTATCACTCAGTCTTTCAAATGTACATTTTTTTCATATTATGTAGCATGCCACTTTTCCAAAAGAAAAAAAGCTCATGAGAAACCAGTGCAAAGTTCTCTGTCCCCCTCCTCTGCTCTGAGGCAGATTGGATGTCCAGGGTACCACCTTTTGCCTGGGGAGGGTGAACTTCAGGCTGTCTGCCCAGCAACAATTCTCTCTGATAGAAGGTTCCTCTCCACACCCTTCTCTCATCCCTTCTCAGCCCTCCTCCCTCCCTCCCTTCCGTGTGTCCCTAAAGTCATTTTGTTAAAAAGAACTCCAGGGTTTGTTTTTGTGGGTGTTTTCACTTACTGGTTGCACTTTCAGTGGGGTTCAGTGGGGTGAGTACGTTCTCCAGTTACACTGTTGGGGAGCTTTGCGTCCCTGCCTCTGAGGGGGTAGGTGGAGAGCAGAGGGCTGGCTGGTCCTTGGGGATCCCAGGCCACCGGCGGCGAGCTCCCCTTTTACTCCGCTGTCTTTACTCCTGTTAGCCTGGTGCGGGGAGAGTGGGGTAGCTGTCCTGGGGCGGGATGAGAATCTGGAGGGCTGCTGCACCGTCCCTCCTTCCTCATCGGGGATGCGGGGTGCCTGGGATGGGGTTGGACAACGGGTTGAGGGCCGGCTGTCCCCCAGGCCCCAGGCCGTGAATGAGCACACGGGGCACCAGCGGCCGCTGCAGCTGCGGGTGTGGTGCCGGAGGAGTCCGGTACATACTGCTGTACATGGCCGCAGCCGCCGCGGCCGCCGTGGTGCTGTCCATGCTGCCCAGCAGGCTTGGGTGGTAGAAATAAGGCGACGGAAACATCCTCTGCAGAGCGGAGTAGTTCCCAGCCTCGGCCAGCAGCTCCAGGCCCACTGCGGTCTGCCGCTTCCATTTGGTTCTGAAAGAAAGCAGGGCGGGCGGCGGCTGCGGAGGATGGTCCCGGCATCGAGCCTGCCGCTGCCCTTCCTCTCCTACCCTCCCTACTCCAAGAAGGCCTGGGGGAACTCCAGGTGCGGGCTCCTTCCTCAGCCCCCTACCCACTGGCCCTCAGGGTGTGGCCCAAACCCAAAATCAGTTCTTCAAACGAGTCCTTGTACGTGAAGACACTCGCCAATGGAATCCCGCAAGCTTTGCTGCCTTCCCACTCTACTGTCCGCCCCAGGGTAAAACTCTGCCTTGCAACTTTCCTGAAGGCCAAATGAGACCCGGTCTTCCCACCAGCTGCCTTCTGTTGCCCCCCTCCCACACATCCCCATGTCCCATTCCCCTCCAATGTCCGCTGACCAGCAATCTAAAATGTTGGCTTTCGGCCCCTCCCCCATCCCTTCGCACCGAAGAAAACCAAAACCAGAAACAAAGGGCAACGGAGACTCGGGGTTTGTACTCTCCAAGCCTGTGGAGACAGCTCTTCTTTCAGTCTTACCAGGCTACAAGCTTAGCCGCAGAAGGGCGACAAGGTTTAAAAATGGAATTCGTCTGAGAGTGAGCTCTCCCAAGGGAATGGTACCCCTAACCATTCTAGATAGGAGGAAATGGGTCTCGAGAAAGTAGTATTTAAAACCTGTTATTCATTTCTTCCCTCTCCTCCCCCCACCGCCTTCCCTACCCACCCATGGCATCAAGCTAGAAAGAGAGAAGGTCTACTCAAATGCCCTAGGAAGGAAACAAGTCTGGTAGGCCATCCATACCCAGCAGCTCCTGCCAAATTAATAAACATGTCGCCGGTTTTAAATTGGCTACAAATGACACTAATGTTTTCCGACAGAATTAGGGTGGCTGAAACCGTATGTAATGAGACAGAAAATTATGGTAAGATGACAACTGGATGGGCATTTCCAACCCCACTTACAAGCGATTAGAACACAAACGACAGAGGGGCCAGAGAATGGAGACCCGGTTGTTGAGTGCCAGGTGTGGAAACAGGACATAGCCTCAACTCCTATTGCCCAAATTTGGCCTTAGCCACCAGGATGAGGTCAGACACTATCTTAACCTGTTTTCTAGAGGCTCAGTGGTGTGCCATAAGATCTGCCTCCTCTCCCCACCCTTTCTCCTTATAAGATGGCAGAAGTAGTCTGCACAGGGAGGGAAAAGACTCATACCCCTCCCCTCCCCCCACATACACTCCAGACTGGATGCTCAACCAGCTGCCTGATTCTCCAGGCCTCGGCCTCCAGTCCAACTGTAGCCCAGATGGGCTTCCCTAATCTTCCATGCTATGGCAACCAAGGCTTGGACTTTGGCTTTCCCAATTGCCTGGCGTTTAAGCCAAGGCTGGTGGGACGGCTCTATGGGGACTTCCGGTAGCTACATGCCCATTGCAGACATTTGGAGCCAGCCTGTGGCAAGTCTAAAGGTACCCTGTGCACACAGGCTTTTCCTGTCAGTTGCACAGATGTTTCAATTTAAGAAGGTGTGGCTTGGTTGATTTGAGGACAAAATGGGGGAGATTCTGGTAGCTTGAGTTCCACAAGAGGAAGAACTGCACATTAAGACATTTAGAGACCCTGAATATCCAATCTCTGTTGCCCCTGGGCTCCCTCATGTGGAGGGGTGGCTAACCCTTGTCTTAAAGCGCCCACTGCAGACCCTCTGACTCTCCTTCCCTGGTCTCCAGAGGGCAGGAGGGCAGACAACTTGGTGATAATGGCCTGGACAGCAGGCAGCTCTCCTCACCTGCGGTTCTGGTACCAAGTTTTGACTTGTGTGTCAGTGAGGTTCAATGCGGCTGCCAGGTCCATGCGGTCCTGGACACTCAGGTACTTCTGCCGCTCAAAGCTACGCTCTAGCTGGTTGAGCTGATGGTCCGAGAAAGCTGTTCTGGCTTTCCGAGGTTTCTTGGCTCTTACAGGGGGACTTTCTCGGCTACTTGAAATCTCCCGGTCTCCTTCTTCTTTTGTTCCTAGGACAGAAACAGTGACACAGCCTTGTGAGTGAGCCTGAAAGGGAGAAGAGAGGTGTCCACCTGGCACACACTTCCACATTCCCACACTAGGTGCTGATCTGGGGGGGGGGGTCTACACACACACACACACACACACACACACACACACACACACCCTTCACTAGGCCTCAGAACAGTGTAGAGGCCTGAGAGTGTTCTCAGGGTATTTGATCCCCTGCTAAGTATTTTTCTTTGATTTGAGAGGAGACATGTGCCCTCTCTTTGTTGTTTTCAAGGGGACTTTCTTTATTTGGTATTCCCCAAAAACCTTTCTACTCTGTTTTTATGACAGCCACACATCATGTTGGTTTTTATTAATTTTTTTCCCTGCTAACTGGAAGTTAGAAGCTTTTTTTGTTTTGTTTTGTTTTTCTGGATGCATTTGAAAAAGGTTGGACTCAGGCATTTTGCAGCCTCCTCTGTTCCAGATCTTTTTCCAGCTTCAGAGAGATATGTCACCCAGACACTGAGCTGAACTCAGAAAACATTTGAGTCCATCCAGGTGACAGCGCAGAAATTTCCGGATTCTATTTGTCAACTTTGGTTTTTTGCTGAAATGCTGGGAAATCGATATGTCAATCCCTCTCTGTTTGTACCGGTTTGTGCAGCACTCCTTGATCTTCCCGGCAGGAAGAACAATAATCTCTCTAATTGACCCACTGGGGAGGTTGGTGCACGAAAAATCACCAGACCAGACTGTACATCTGTTTAGGGCACTATTATGCTAATGCTATAAACAGTAAAAGGAAGAACACATATCCTACCTTTCAGACAGCAATCTTTACAGAAAACCAAGCATTAATAATAATAACAATGACAACAATAATAGCAGTAACAACCTATCAGTAAAGGGAGAAATATCCTTCCTGATGTGTTAAAACTCTTGCAATGCAAAGACCAGAACAGTTACTTACAAAATTTCCCAAGAAGAAAATAGAGTTGATAAGGGAGAATTTTCATTGTTGTCTTGATTTTGCAAGAGCAAATTCAATTCCATAAAATTTAATTTTCATAAATATTTAATTATTGTAAAGGAACGGAGCTGATTCGGTCACAGACATTTATTGGGGGTATTAATAAAAAGGCGTGTTTTAAAAATGGATTATGATTTTTTTCCTGTATTAATCACCAGCTAATAAAAAATTGCTTCCGCAATAATGTTGAAATTTTGTCTAACATTAAATCAGAAAATTCATGTGATTATTTGGAAATTATTAGGGGGAGCATTTGCATTCAAGAATAAAGATCAATTTATGATTACAGACCGAGGCAACCACAGCTATCAGTTTTTCTCCAACCCCTCTCACTCCCATTCCCAAGGTCTCATCTTAAAAAACAAACAAACAAACAAAACAAACACGAAACAACCTCAAGTCTGCCCCTATTTTCAACAAAAAGTATCTTCCACCCTGTGTCCCCCAGAGGCCACCCTTCTCCCGGTACATTTACAATTAAGTAAAACAAAGAACGGAGCTGGATATCCGATATCGGTGAAGGTCGTGGGGTAGAAATATAACCAACTGAGCTTGGGGTACATTTGCTGAGTCGCGCGCCTAGGCCCCTCTTTAGCTTCCACTCCTCCAAACGCCTCAATCACCAGGGCAGCCCCGGAGCAACTCACCGTGGCATTTGATGTCGCTCTGGGAGTCTTCCCTCTTATCCAGCTTGGCTTTGCTATCCTCCTGCTCCAGCTTTGGCCTGAAGCTCTCGTGCGCCGCGTTGCTCTCCTGCTTCGGTGTATGATGAGGAGAGACGCTGGTGCTGTAGGGCGCACAAGCCGCCAGAGGTTTGCTGTCCCCCAAGATGTCCTTAATTAGAAACGAAGAGGTGGAAGTCCTCGGGGCCGAGGCGGCCGAGCCCAGCTGCTGGGCTGCCGACTGTGGCTGTGGCGGTGGTTGCTGCTGGGGCGAAGGCTGCAAACTTTGCGCGGGGCCCGCGGCTGGCGGCGGCGGTGGCTGTTGGCTGTGGTGTAGGTGATGGTGATGCTGAGGCCCGTCTGTCACGAGATGCGGTTCCGGGGGCTCCAAGGTGACCGAGATTGGAGAAGAGGGCGCCGTTCCCACGGTATCGATCTCCGAACAGGGTGATGGGGTGGCCTGGTTCCTAAAATCCGTGGTCCTAGATTCACCAAGAGGGCGGAAATCTCCGTTCATCATACCGGGGCTGCCGGAACCGGCACCGGACAAAATCGTGTCTATTCCAAAACTCGACCCGCTGGCCCCTTCCATGGCTGTCATTTCTACATGAGGTCCACGCCACTCCGCGGATCAGCAGCCGCCGGGACCAAGCAAGGGAAGACTATCGATCGTAAAACAAAATAGGCACTAAAAATAAAAACCTTGATACTGCTTTTAAAAATAAAAAGTGGGGCGGGCAAAGAAGATAATGGGGATTGTGGCAATTGGTAGATACTTTCGACTCAACTTTTTCCCACATGCAAAAAAGTAAAAGGAAAGAAAGATGAGAGGCAGACAACCAAAAAAAAAAAAA